TCAAATATTGTTTCATCCAGCAAATAAATCATATATTAATCCACTTAATTCAAGCAACTGAAACTGATTGGAGTTGCACCAAAAATTAATGAGCATATACTTACACATATTATCTCGATATTCGAGATCTGAAGACCGTAGTGCCTTTAAAAAAAACAAATCAAATAATTGATGTACATGCTTCAAATCAAGCAATGAAAATTTGCACAAACAATTTTGATTTATTTTCAATTGGATATAAATATTCATATCCAACATCACATGATCTCAATCCATACAATAACATACGTAACAGTGAAATAAATTCCAAAACCGAAAGCAATTTAGTTTCGAAACCAAATCTCAATAGAACTGATGGATTCAAATAATTTCGAGTGCTGAATCCAAATAAATCCGAAACATACATATCCGAAATCAATCACGCATAACTGAAAATCAAAATAAATTGATTCCCCAAAATTCAATATGAAGAGGCTCTGATACCACTTGTTAGAATTAACCTTAGGCGAAATACATCGCTATAATCCAGGAGCTTTCATATCGAATAATTGAGAATCAAAACTGAATAGCGGAAACGTACCTTGAATCCACAGGTGATTGATTTGGGGATTTGGCCTTCTAGGTCTATACGATCGTGTACCTTTTGAGAGAACCCTTTAGCTTTTCTCCGTAACCTCTCTATCGATGGGATGCAGAAGAGATAATCTGTCTATGACCTAGGGACCACAACCCTTATGTACATTAAGTTACATTAGGCATCTCTATTTTAGCCCATCATTAAAATAGAAAAGTTACATTAGGCATCTCTATTTTAGCCCATCATTAAAATTGAAGACCCATTAGTTTCTACACATTAAAGGCCCACACCCTATTGATACTTTAAAGCCCAATAACTTTAAAACTTAATTGATCACTTTTATTTGGGCTTCTTTATTTGACAACCACAATACAATAATTATTTCACATATTAGCCCAATGTTAGATTAAGGATCCAACAGATTACACTCATTAAGATGTATTGATGTGAGAAGTAAAAAATATTAATGACTAATTTTGTAACCAAAAATGGAGAAAAAACTTTAAAGGTTTTATTAAATGTTTTATTAAATGCTACATGCCAGCAATTATATATATAGAGATTCTATGGAGCTATCGGATAATTTTCTTATGGAGTCATCCACCACTTAATGTGTTGACACCTGTCCAAATTGTATTTATTATAGGACAAGTGTCAATATACTATTGGTGAAAAAGTGTGGATGACTCCACAAGTCGAGCCATTAGCAAAACCGATATGGTTTTGCTATGAAACTATCGGATGGCTCGACTTATGAAGTCATCTATAGTTATTTACAAATGTTGTATTAACACGTGTTCCGCAATAAATACACATTGGACACGTGTCAGTACATAAAATTATGGGTGACTCCATAAGAGAGCAATCCGATGGCTCCATCGAATTATTTATGTATATAAATAGTGAACAGAATTTTGAATTTACTTTATGACAATGTTGGACTTCAAACTGGTGCAAACAACGTGTCCTGTCAGATTGTGAGACTCTCACACAGTTACCAATTTGAGATATGCCAAATAGAAGTTACAACAATAAAACAGAATTAAAACCTACAGCAGATCATATCATGTCCCACACAATCAAGTTTATCCACAACTTGCAATGGATATAGGATGTCGTAAAATCAGCAAATTCGTCTTATTTTCACCGTGTTTTTTTTTTTACTGTTAGATTGTACGATCACACTTTGCAGGCTAATGTTAATTCATCGGTCGGAAAAAAAAAAAAGACCGATGAGATATGCCGACTATTAGACAATGCCTATCATTAGACATGTCCATCGTCCAAAATTATCGGTAGGGTCGAATTTTTTGGAAAGTCCAATATGAGACATGCCCATTAAATGAAAGATCAAACCAGAGCTTTGTGAGACTCCACATAGCCAAATCCAAGCTCAGAAACAGAATTCAATGTAGAAAGTAACATACAAAAGCATAGGTCTAAAAATTTTCAGGACAAATTTACTACGTCGAAATCCCCAAAACAATTTCTAACATTTTAACTCAACCACTCTTTTTATGTACCACCCCACCTTATCATAAAATCAGAGTGCGAAAATTTCGCAAAACTTTTCTTGATAATACATATTTAATTGCGAAATCCTTTTCGGGATGCTACCAAAAACCATTCATTGCTTAAGAAATCCGTTACCTTTATTTAAATTTAACGTTGAGGAATAAACGGATTATTTTTTTTTTTTAGATCAACTGGCATGTACACTTTATAAAAATCTGTCTGATAAATCAGTTTAAAAATAAAAACTGACATGCTAGTTGAAATATCGTAAAGTGACAGCGGAAGTCATACGTGGCAAAACATAGCTGTACAATAATGTACAATGGCTGCTAGCCATATCTCTGACCACGATCCACCAACCAGCTCATTCCTCTAGTCCGACTCTGAAACCTGAAAAACATAAACATCGTGGGGCGTGAGCACTAAAAGCCACTGTGCTCCGCAGAAACTCATACTAAAGTAAACATTAATAATAATTGCATCATCATGATCAAACGCATGCATATCTGCTGCTATCTGTAACTGCTCGTCAACAGTATAAACTGGACGTAAACTGTGTCTGCCGACTGTAATAATACTAGCCGAAACCATGTGCACACCCTAGTGGTCAGATCTAGCCACTAGAGCTCGGAATGGAATTACGCTGCTGGCCACCACTCTAAGTGGAACTGATATATACATACCTCGCGCGTGATAGTTGTAATTATACTCAATGTAATACTCAGTTTGAGTTCCCACCTGAACTGCTGGTTTGAAAATATAAGTGCTGATATCTGGATCCTGAACAAACTGAAAATAATATAAACAATTACTAAATACTATGCTCAGAATGATAAAATAACTGATTAATGTGTTAAGATGTTCTACTGGACTTTAATATGATATCTGGGCTTAAC